CCCTCTCCCTGCGTCCAGCCCCCACGCTTGCTCACCTGGTCGCGCAGCACTCCCCCTGGACCCGGCTGTCCTCCCCACAGCAGCCAACAGAGGGCGCCTGTGAGCCCTTGAGTCGGCTTATTTCACTGAGCATCAAGTCCTGAAGGTTCATCCATTTTGCAGCATGTGTCGGAACGTCCTTCCTTTTTATGGCTCAATAAATATTCCATTGTATGGATGGGCCACAATTTATTTCTATTCATCTTTTAATACCTGCCCTGTCCTGTGTACTGAAGGCACAGTGCTTCTTCAGGACAGTCACAGTCCAGTCAGGGGATCAGGGTCATAATGGGGAACACTGCAGGTGCCCTAGGACCCAGAGGAATACACCCTCCAGGAAGACTTCCTGGAGGGGGTGACATCTACATCGATACTTGAACTGGAGTGAACCAGGAAGAGAGATGAGGTAGATGAAAGAATGTACCTGACAGAGGGACCAGCATAAGCAAATGCCTGGCAGAGTCTGAGGTTCAGGAGAACCAAGGGTCACAGGGTCTGCCAGAGGGCAGAGGAGACAATGAACAGGCTGGCCAGCTGCATCAGCAGGTGTGGGAGGTGGCACACGGATGTTCCGTAAATGCTTATTGAGGCCAGATCCAAGCTAGGATCAGTCTTGGCTCCCCTGACACCCCAAATCAAACCCTCCACCTCTGAGGAACACTTCTCTGGTCCCCACAGATTGACCTCGTGCAGTGTGGGGTGACCCCCATCGCCCCAGCCCGCCCTGGGAAGGTGCATGAGCTGTGGGGGGACTGCAGTCTGAGCACCCTGGAGAACGGCCGCCGCCGTAGTCAGGTAGGATGGTAGGATGGTAGGGAGTGGTTCTGGATCCACCCGGGGTTGCCAGAGGCCAGGCCTGAGCTGTGTCTAACCAACTGCTGAGGCCAGCTGGGTGGAGTGTCCATGGGAAATGGAGGTAAGGTGACAGTCCTATTGGGTGCCCACAAGAGAAACTAAGGCAGGGCTTGGTCTCATTGTGTGCATGGAGGAAACTGAGGCAGGGTGATGCAGTTCTATTGGGTGTCCATTGGAGAAACTGAGGCAGAGAAAGTCTCATTGTGGGTCCTTTAGGGAAACCTGCCCTTGATTCCTGCTTTTGGGGAGGCAGGGCTGTTTCCTTGTGTCCGTGGGTAAAACAGAGGCAGGGAGATACAGTCCCATTGTGTCCATGGGGAAACTGAGGCAGGGTTCAGTCCCAGTGTGTGCCTGTGGAGTAAACTAAAGCATGGTGAAAGTCCCATTGTGTGTCCATGGGTAAAATGAAGCAGGACGTCGGTCCCTGCATGTGTCCATCTGGGACACTGAGGCCCTGCTCTGCCCCGCCCTTCCCCTCCCCGCAGGCAGAGCTGGAAACGCTGGTACTGTCCCGAAGTCTGATGCGGGAGCTACAGGGCTCAGTGGACGCGCTGGAGACCAGCGTGCGGGGCCTGCCCCCGGGTGCCCAGGAGAAGGTGGCCGAGGTCCGGCGCAGCGTGGACGCCCTGCAGGCCGCCTTCGCCGACGCGCGCTGCTTCCAGGACGTGTCGGCGTCGGCGCTGGCCGAGGGCCGGGGCAGAGTGGCTC